TTTTTGGGGGTTGGGGACAGGTGAGTCATTCTAGGGGACAGTAGCAGGTGAGGTCCTAAGAGGGAGTCTGCACACGTGTCTTGGTGCTGTGGAGGCCTCGGGCCTGTCCCTGCTCTTTAGCCACTCCCTGGACCCCTGCTTCTCTTCCACCTTAAGTGAATGGTGCTTGGTCCCTGGGGGTGGGCCCCCACTGCTGGGTGTTGGACCAGACTTAGGCTCAGGAACCCCAGTATTTCTCAGGGCTCAAAACCCCCAGGCTCCGAAGCTGCCTTTCCACAAGGTCTATCTGCTGGCTGCAACAGGGGTGGATGTGGCACAGGCCAGTGTGGAAGCCGCTCTCCTCAGGAGGGCAGGCAAGACAGTGATCAGACCCCAGGTGAGAGGCCCAGCCCGCTGGGACACGAAGGGAGAGCAGGTCAGAGAGGCAGGCCACTCCTGAGGAGGGGACAGGGCCAGTCTCCCAGGGCCGGAAGTTTGCACAGCTGCGTTGAGGAGGTTTCTTTGCATAATAGAACATGAAATGCCTGGCCCACAGTGTGTCCAGAGCCTCTGCGGGGGCCAGAGTAAAGGGGGGTCCAGTTGGAGCCTCATTTCCTATGCACAAATGAGAGAGGGGTGGCAGCCTCAGGCTAAGTGAGTGGGGTCCCCAGCTGACTGGGGGCTCCCCATCTCAGATGTCCTGCCAGTCATTTGTCTCCAGGTAGCACTCCGGCACCCCCTGGGGACCTCCCACCTCCAGAGCTCATGCTGCATCTTTCAGGCCCCAGGGGGACCTGGCCAGGCAGAGCTGGACCCTTCACAAAGGATCTGGGCCACATCGGCCTGGGGCCCTGGCTGCAGATCCACACCCCTCCCTCTCCAGGCCAGAGCCTCTGGGAGCGCTGCCACTCTGCTCAGCCCTCTGGGTCTGGAATATTCCATGCAGAGGTTTGCTGCCTCTCCCCACTTAAAATTCTTGGAGACTCAGTATGAAAACTATGGTGCTGTCCGGGAAAGACAACATCTTGAGTGCAGCAGAGGTGGCCAGGAGGTGGGGCTGGAGGTGAACTGGGAGCCAGGCATTCCAGGGCAAAGCCACCCTTCTGTAGTACCCTGTCATGGTAGATATGTGATGTGACACATTTGTCACAAACCACAGGACTGCACAGCCTGGACAGCAAGCCCCTGCCTGTGGAAGACTTCGTTAACTCTAGTGTATCAACATTGGTTCAAGAGTAACAATGTAACAGGAATGTGAGCGGTTTGCTAGAGAAGGTGCCGGAGATAATCAGCTCTGCTGTCCTTGCAGTTCTGTAAGCCCAAACTGCTCTGTAAACAAGCCTAGTCAAAAGACACCATCCTTCTTGGGGCCCCACCCTGATTCTACACTCAACATAGACTCGGGGGTGCCTTTAAAGAGTGCTGAGCCAAGGAGACCACCTGAGCCCCTCCCTGCAAGCTTGGGAGCTTTGATTCCAGAGAAGGTAGGGGGAGAGAGGAAGTCCAGATGAGGCTGGTCCTCAGCAGAGTTTTCAGTCAGCATTGGGAGCCTCCTCTCCACACGCTGGACCCTCTTTGGACCACCTCCCCTGCACCTCAAGACCTCCTTTCCTGGGTCACCTTCTCCACATTGAGGGCTTCCAGCGCCTGGTTCACCTCACACCTGGCCCCTTCCTGTGTTGGTCCTAGCTTACTCCCCTCCGCCACCAGCCTAGTCTTTCCTCCTTTTCCACATCCTCCTCCTCATACCCTGGTCCCCTGGCCCCACCTCCAATCTCCTGTCCCTTGTACCCTGTCTCAGGTCCCTTGCCTCTGACCCCCTGTCCCTGGTCCTCTGTCCTGGTTCACATCCACCTCACACCTCATCACCACTCTCCCCCACCCCTGCTTCCTCCCCTACAGTCTCACATCTCTTAAATCGGGCCATTCCCCATGGACCCAGAGCTTATCACTGACCAGGGAGGTGCCCTGTCTGGGGTCACTGGACTCCCAAGGCTGAACATCTCCCCAGCTCAGGCAGCAGAGCAGACAGGGGTCTCCGGCACTCCCCTCTCCCCACTGCTCAACCCCTCACGTGGGTTCAAGGAGCTGGCAGTGGTTTCTCAGTTTTGAAGGTTCCAGGTACGAAGTAGGCATGACTTTAGAGGAGCTTCTTGATCTATTTCAACGATGAGCTGCCTGTCTCCACTGTCACCAGACGTCACCTGTCTTCCTGCTGTTCCCACGTCCACATGCTGCCCCATAGCCACTCAGCAAAGTGGGTTTGGGACACCCCGCACTGACGTGCACCCATTAAGACAAGATCCCCATTCCCTAGCACACCCACCACCTTCAGCTGGGTATGACGTGGCCGTGCTCTGCACAGCACCTGAGGTCAGAAGCCCTAATGGGCAGACTGCTTATCTGGGTGCCCTGGGGCAACTGGGGGACTCGAACCTGATAACCTCTCAGCTAGCAGCCCAGCAGACACTGGTCAACAGATGACTCTCCACATGGTTGCAAAAACCAAAAGCTCATGAACTGCACGTTTCTCAGGTGCGTGTGCTGCATTGAGCGTGTACCCCACACCCAGTGCCCCTTTCCTGGCCTCAGAGCCGACTCGCAGGGCCCACTGCCACCCCTGCTGTCCACTGGTGAGCCCAGGGCCCCACTTTGCCGGGTCTTGTTATTCACGTGAGCGAGGCACATGGCACAATTCACTCAGTGCAGTGTTTCCGGGCTCACTCCACATGCCAAGACCCCGCCCTCCAGTCACATCCTACCCGTGTGGCCGCGTGGCGGCTGGAGCCTCAGGTGTGTCCCCGGCGGCTGCTGTGGACAGGGGCACACGTGCCTGCCACAGGGCTGTGAGGCCCTGGGGGGGGTACCTCGGCTAAGCTGTGGAGGGGCCCCCAGGCTGCTTCCCACGGCAGCTCACCCTTTCGCATTCCCACCAGTAGGGGCTGTGTTCCAGTTTCCACAGCCTTGTCAACATTTGTTATTATCCATTTAAAAAACCCAAAACCTCTTCGCCACTCAGCTGGGCACCATGTGGAATTGCCCTGAAGTCTTAACGCCTATGTCTCTGCCGCCCAGCGGTGAGCACCCCACGTGTGCTACACCACTGAACATCCTTTTGGGTGAAATGTTAAGCCCTTTGTAATTGTTTCATGATGTTTATTTTTTCCTTGTTAGGTTGTGTGTGTGTGTGTGTGTGTGTGTGGGGGGAATATGTTGTTGTTTTGTGCCACTGAGTCACCTGCGACCAATAGTGACCCTGCGTACAGCAGCTTTGAACCTGGCCCCATCCTGAGCCAGTTTCACTGACTCTGACACAACTACCCCCATCGCTCCAGTTACTGTATCAATCTATCTCTCCTGCGTTTTCCCTCCATCCTTCCAAGCATGATGTCCTTCTCCAAGGACTGATCCCGCCTGGCCACATGCACAAAGTGTGTGAGACGGAGCTTCAAAATCCCAGCCTCCAAGGAGAAACTTGGTTTCACCCTCTCCGAGACAGACCAGTTTGTTTTCTTGGCAGTCCGTGTATGTTCAAGACTACTCCAGCACCACAATTTAAAGGCATTGATTGTTTTGTCATCCTTAGTCTTTGTCCAGCTCTCGGATGCACAGCAAGCAATTGAGAAGACCTTGTGCACCTTAGTCTCTACACTGACTTCTTTGCTCTCAGCACTCTGGAGAGGTCCCTGACAGCAGATTTTTCCAATGCAATTCGTCTTTTGATTTCCTGACCGCTGGAGTGACTCCTGAGTGCCAGGAGTGTTGATTATGGAGCCGAGCAAGTGGAAACTATTAACAACCTCAGTCTCTTCTCCACCCACCGTGGTGTTGGCAACTGGCCCAGTACATAACTAGAGGGCGAGGCCCAGGTCTATTGCTCACAGGATCGCTGTGACTGGAGGTGACTCGATGGCACTTAACAACAACAGCATATGGAGTTCCAGTGGTCGAGGTTAAGGAATTGTGATGCCAACCCAAAGGCGGGCAATCTGGACCCACTCACTGACCCAAAGGGGAAAGGCTGGCCACCTGCTCCCTTGGAATTCCCAGCGGCGACACGATGACTTGGTGGTCATGGCGACGAGCTGAGCTGCTCCTGCTGTTGTAGGTACTGTCAAGTCAGAACCAACCCGACCCTTCCGGGGGCTTCAGAGCCTGCACATCACAGGGAAGGAGATTGGCCATATTTCTCCCGCAGGCCAGCGGGTGGCTCAGAACCACATACCTCTGTGTTGGCACCACACTTCTATGTATTTCTTGTGGTGGTGGTTACGTGCAGGACCTCTGAAGCAGCCTGTCAACCCAGGGAGGTCTTCTGGGGGTGACCTCTGGAAGGATGGTGGGAGTGCTCACGTCTCTGCAGAGGTGGGGAGACGTGGGACTGTGAGTGGTCCAGCTTCTGGGCCAGGTAACAAGGGAGCCCCAGACGGGTGCACTGTCGCCCCAGACTCCCAGCTGACTGGAGTCAGTGCAGAGTGATGTACACATGGGGCAGGAGAGACTGCAGCCCAGAGCAGCCTGAGCCAAGGAGGGGACACAGGCTGAGCAAAGGTGGGGTCCAACCCTTTCACTGGCTCAGCCCCCCAGCATCTGGGCTCTCCCCAGGGTCAAACTTTTGCAGAGGAGTTGACCAAGGGTCAGCAAGGTGGAGGCAAAGGGGGTGCCCACCACAGTGAGAAGTGACAGGCAGCCCAGGCCCTGGCATACACCCCACCATCAGAGCTAGTGGGGATGGGTATTCTGAGAGAGCGGGGGTCTAGCTGTCTGGCCTGCCCCACCCCTGGTCAGATCTGAGGCAGGCAGCCTGGTGAGCCTGTTGCATAAGCGGCCCTGGGGGACCAGGCTGCAGCTGGCCCTGGCCACTGCCCTTCCCCCCTCCACATCACGAGCTTCCACGGGGCTGTCCCTGGGCCCTGGGAGGAGGCCAAACCAGGCCCTTAAATAGAGGCCCCCAGTGCCCTCACATATGCCTGGCCTCTCTGCTTTCTGCTCCTGGTCTCAGCTGCTCAGCCTGTGGTGGGATGGCTTTACCAAGTGCCCTGTGGATGGGGTTGGTACTGCTGGGAGCCTTGGGGTTCCTGCAGACCCCAGCCCAAGCCGGGGCCTCCGTGCAGCCCAATTTCAAGCAGGACCAGGTGAGGTCTCTGCATCCTCTGCACAAGAAGGGCACTGAATAGGCATAGGACTGGGTACTGCCCCAGGGTAACCATGAGAGGCCCTTCACAGGGCCCTGCACCTCACCAACCGAGACAGCAGAGCCCACATCCCCTGGTGCACAGGGGCACAGCCGAGCGTGAGCTCACAGGTGCACTGGGCTGTGGCGGTCACGATGACCAGGAGCAGATCCCACTCAAACCCTAGGAGGCCCAGAGACAGAGAGAGGCAGGGCGGTGTCAACCGGGAGGGACAGGTTTGCTCTGCAGACACAGGCGCTCAGACGGGGCTGTGCAGGATACAGCGGGGAAACGGGGCGCACGGGATGGGGGGGCAGGATCAGTCAGTGGTGCAGGGCCAGGAAGGAAGGGTGCGAGGAGGGGGTGCAGCTTACTTTGAGAGGCCGCCTCGTCTGGGGGTGGTGCCCCCCTCTCGAGACCCCAAGAGGCCAGCGCGGACTTGACTCCTGTTGGCGCAGTTCTTGGGGCGCTGGTTCAGCGCGGGCCTCGCCTCCAACGCCACCTGGTTCCGGGAGAAGAAGGCGCGGTTGTTCATGTGCAGATCGGCCGTGGGCCTCACTGCAGATGGCGGCCTCAACCTCACCTCCACTTTCGTCAGGTGAGAGTCGGGCGGGCTTCTGGGGCTCAGGCCCTGCCCCATGGTCACGGCCTGGGGACACTCCTGGCCTACCCCCTGACACTGAGGGTGACCTGCCCACAGGAACAACCAGTGTGAGACGAGGACCATGGTGCTGATGCCGGCCGGGGTCCCGGGCCACTACACCTACCGGAGCCCACGTGAGTGACCCGAGCGAGTCAGGGCCACAGCTGTTGACAGGGAGACTCTGCAGAGCCTCACTTGGGGCAGCAGAGGTCTAGGGGGATGCTGACCACAGAGGTGGTGAGGAGGAGAGTGGACGGGGGGGCCAGAGCGTGGACAGTGGAGCCTCCCGTGGGTGGGACTTTGTCCTCTCAGGAGGCAGGGTCTAGGCAGAGGGGAGCAAAGACCTTCAGGTGGGGGGCGTCTTCAGATCCCCTCCTCAACCCCCCACACCATCCCCCCCAGTGGGGAGACCTCTTGTCCTGGCTGGGCAGAGACCCCTGGGGGTGCTGGACACTGGAGAGTTCTGGGGGGTTTGTGCAGGAAGTGCTGGCTTGGCCTTCTAGCTGGATGCAGGGGGGAAGGGCTGGAAGCCCACATCTTCCTGAAATCCAGGAGACGAAGGTCATACTGCGTCTTGGGGTGATGGACCCTAAGCTGGCCGCTTCGTGGTTGCAGACTGGGGCACTGTGCATGACGTCTTCGTGGTGGAGACAGACTACAGCCAATATGCCCTGTTGTACAGCCAGGGAACCAAGGGGCCCGGGCACGATTTCCGAATGGCCACCCTCTACAGTATGTGCCCTGAGCTCACCCTGAGGCTGCGCGGGCTGTGGGGGCCGTGAGGCTGGGCCTTCACCCCATCCTGCAGGGGCTGTGGAGGTGGGGGAGGGCCGAGGCCTGGTCCTTCCCCCCTGAGCCAGACTCCTGCGCCTCCCCTTGCAGGCCGAACCCAGAACCCGAAGGCAGAGTTTAAGGAGAAATTTGCTGCCTTTGCCAAAGACCAAGGCTTCACAGAGGACACCATTGTCTTCCTCCCACAAGCCGGTGAGGGGGCTGACCCGGGAGGGGATTAAAGTCAGATTAGAGCCCACAGCACACTGAGAGGCGTAGGGGGCAGTGGGAGTGGGAGGAAGGAGAGGCTGGCTCGCCCTCAGGTCTGCAGCCAGGGGCAGGGAAGACCCTGCCTCGAGAAATTCCCCTCCCAGCACCCCGCTTGGAGACCCCAAACCCATGGAGAGCCTGAGCCAGGGCCCAGCCTGGGGGGCACCGGCACCACGAGGGAGTCAGCATCCACGTGTCCCCCTCCTGACCTCTGACTATTGCACTCTTGAATGTGATGGGGGAAAGCTGCCTCAGTTTGAGCATGGTGGTTGGGCATCTGCACTGGGGTGATGCAGGGCACCAGCTTTGGGGGGATGGGAAGGGCTTCCTCACGTTAGAGCAGTTGGGCCGAGGTGGGGGTGTTGTGGCACAGATTTGGTGCTGATATCCGCCTCCTGGCCCCTTTCTTGGCAGATAAATGCATGGAAGAGCTCGAATAGGTGAGCGGGGCGGGGCTGCGGGCGGGGCTGGACAGTGGGCACTTGTTCACTTGCTCAGAACACATCCTGTCCCAGCATTGGCTCTGTGGGGGGCCCAGGTCTGTCACACACACACACACACACACACACACACATACACATACACCCCCTACCACCACCGGCTGTCCCAAGACCCCCCTCGTTCCCAGTGCAGACCAAGTGTCCAGCTGAGGGTCAGACATGTTGGGATCTGTGGGGGTGGGTGGGTGGCAAGGCTTCAGTCAAGTCCTGGAGGCTCAGAGGGTGAACTTCAGCTGCGGCATCCCCCACAGAGGAAGACTGGGGGCTGGTGAAGGTCTGGCTGGTCCACGTGGAGGCGGAGCCTGGAGAATGGGGGAGAAGAGGGGAGAGGTCTGCACCCAAAGGACATTGACTGTGGATACTGGAGCTTTGGGAGAAGCCCCAAGCTGAGCAGGGGACCCTTCATGGGGCAGTCAGGGGACAGAGTGTTGCCTGTCCACTGACTGGTCCCACTCTCCACTAGGTCACCAGGCCCCAAGATCCTGACCCTCCGGCTTCACTTCCCTCCAGACCCCTGAGCCCCAGCACCCTGCCAGCCACCTCCTGGGCAATAAAAGCTGAAGCAGCAGCCGCTTGGTGTCTGTCTGTCCTGCCACCTTACCTCACCGGGGGCCCTGCCGGCTCCCTAGACCTCTGTCCCCAGAGCTCAGAAGGAGGCTGCCTGTGTGACCTCTCTAGAGTTTGCTCCTGGTGGCAAAGGGGCCAGCGGGAGCCAGGAGTTCATCCCTCCCTTACCTGCAATGCCCCCTCTAGTGGTCAGCTACACTGCCAGTGTGTGGGGGTCAGTTCCATCCCTGGTCTGTACTGTATCTATAGCCTTCAACTAGGCAACCCTCCTGGCCTGTCACCACTCCGGCCACAGAGCTTTCGATTCGTGGGTCAAGGGTGTAGGTTTGGCACATGGAAAACAGGGCTTCTGAGATGCAAGGGGGAAGACTGTAGAGTCCATGTCCCCCCCCAGAGTGTGACAGGGATACTACAGAGTGGGACAAGGTACCCCACACCCTCCTGACCCCCTGGGCCTCAAGAACACCCACCTCTAGCTGCTTTTCAGAGTCCAGGCACCGCCTTGGCCACCTTCTTCCACCCTCCTGACTCCATGTGCTGTCCTGCCCCTCACCCTGGGCCCTGGGCTCACAACGGGCAGGACTCCTCACAGTGGGCAGAACCCCTAAGACAAAATCCAAGGAAAGAGTGCTGGGTGGGCTTCACAGAGGAAGGAGCCTGGCACTGGGCTTCAGTGGACCCTGTTCCTTGACCATCTCAGACGGGCTAGGGGCTGGCACCCTGACAAGGTGGGTTGCACAGAGGTCGGTAGACTGTCAGGAGGCTCTGACCCAGACACTGGCAGAGCCATGTGGCCCATGCCCAGGAGGAAATCCGGGGAGTGGGAGGGCTTGGTAGATGGTAGCAATGCCAGGGTGCTGCGGGGTGCAACCCAATCAGGGGGCCTATCTAGGTGGGCTCCATCCCAGGACAGCCAGCCAGGGCCCCAGGGCACCTTAGGGGCATAAAGGCCACCTGCAGAGCAGGCTGCCCCAGCTCTCCAGCCACAGTCCTGCTGCCCAGCCACTCTGCCGTCTCCCTGCTAGCCTCTGCCATGCCGCCAGCTGTGCTGACTGCCACTCTCCTTGGCCTGCTCTGGGCAACTCTAGGCTGTGCCCAGGTCCCCATCCAGGCCAACTTTGATGCCAGCCAGGTGTGACCAGCTGTTTGAACCTCCTCCCTGACCACCTGACCCAGCTGTGACTCCTGATGCCTGCTCTCAAGGGCCAGCTTAGGGCTGGGGTGGGAGGGAAGAGCCCCCCTGTGGAGCCGGTAGGGAGGGTGGTAGAGTCTGCCCATGGGGCTCTGCCCACTTCATTCCCTATGACCTCTAGTCTGGACAAGTTGCCACTGTTCCCAGCCCTAGGTGGAATGAGGCAGGGTCACAGAGGCCACTGATCCTGGGCCTGGTGGGGAAACAGCTGGACGAGGGGGGGATGGGCTCCCGCACCATGGACAGGGCGTCCTCCCAGCCTCCCCTGCCGCCCTTAGTTCCAGGGCACCTGGTACGTGGTGGGCGCTGTCTCAGATGACCAGACCTTCCTGGATTCCAAGGAAAACATGAAGATGTCCACGGTCTCCATAACCCCTCTGGCCAATGGCAACCTCGCTGTCATGTTTGGGAATCCCACGTAAGTGTGAGCCCAGGAGTGTCCCTGAAGTACAGATCAGAGCCACACAGGCTGGTGACAGCTTCTGAGGGCAGAAGGGGGCAGTGTCGCCTCCTCAGTGACCAAGTCTCTATTGGGGCCTCTGCTGAGACCTTGGTGCAGAGCAAACAGCAAGACATCTCTGTGTATCTCTGCATGTGTCTGTGTCTGTGTGTGCTCCCGTGTCTGTGCTGGGAGTGTTTGCCTGTGTCCAATCTGTCTGTCTCCCTGCATATGTGTTATCTGCTGGGTGTCTGCTTGTTGGGTCATGCATCTGGGGTGAGGGGAGACCGGCAGATGTTACCCCATCCCACCAAGCATTTCCTGACCTGTAAGGCAAGTTCCCAAGGACAGCTGTGGGAGTGAACAAGGCCACACTGGGCCAGGCTGTGTGCATGGTGTTGGGACAGTGTCTGGAACTGGCCAGACAGGGCCTGCTGAGGGGCCGGGGTGGCTCTTCTGGGGCTCTGCGGACTCCTTTCCAACAGGCCAGATGGAGGGTGCCAGAAGATGGATGCGACCTTTGCAAAGGGCTCCACGGCCGGGGAGTTCAGCAATGCAGGTGAGGATGGCCAGGGCCAGAATGCTTGCTTGGGGGAGGGGTTGTCGAGGGTGGGGGGGACAGGGGTACCTCCAGGGAGCCTGTTGTGGTCGCCTTGCTGGTAGGCACCCCAGCTGAGGGCACTGTGCTCAGCGGACTCTTGTCCCAGCCATGGCGCAGACGGACATTCGAGTAGTCCACACGGACTACAGACACTTTGCTGTGATGTTCTTCGAGACCAACAAGGGCGGCCAGCGGAACGTGTGGCTGCAGCTCTATAGTGAGTGTCCCTCACACCCATGGAGAATCCTCGCCTGCGCCCCCATTGTCCCTTCCCAGCCCGTCCCCCTTGTCCAGGCACACTTCCCAGGCAGGTCAGGTTTGGTGTTCACACCCCTTCTAGCACTTTCCAGTCTGTTCTGAGTGTGAGGGTGGAGTCGAGGTCTCCCAGCTGTCTCCCTGAGCAGCCCTGGTGTCCTGTCCAGCCTGCCCTTACCTGCCTTTCCCGCCCTCAGCCCGGACACCTGAGCTGGTTCCAGAAGGTGCCCAGAAGATGCAGCAGTTGGTGCCCCAAGTTGGCCTGAACCCCAGCCAGGGGGCCCTGCTGCCCAAGTCAGGTGAGAGCCCTAACCTCCCCACCTCCCCACCTCCCAGGGCTGCAGAAGCCAAGGGACCTCTGCCCAGAGCTCCCATCCTCTGAGTCTGGATGGGTGGTGAGAGGGCACCCAGCCTGGAGTCCCTGAGGAGGGTCTCTCTGAGCTGGGACTTCTCTCGGGGGAGGAGCGATACCCAGCCTCTCTCTTTCTCCAGATCAGTGCACCAGCACCTTCGTCCAGGTGAGTGAGGGGCACTGCCCAGCTGCCATGCCTCCCGTCCCGACCTCGCGTCCTCCCCATTCCTGCACCTGGGGATGAAGTGGCATGAGATCAGCTCCTGGGGTGGGGGTGAGGAAGCAGATGACGATAGGTGAGGAATTACCGGGGACCCAGGCCATGTCCACCCTGCTCCAGCCTCACTCTTGCTTCACAGTGAAGGACTCTGCCTGGGAACGCAGAGGTCAGCGGGAGGACCAGGACCTGCCCAGGGGTTCCAACCCCAATCAGTGCCTCATTTCTCTCCACAATCCTTGCCCCAGCACAATAAACAGTCTCTGAAAATGAATGGAAGCCGATGGTTTTGTGTTTCTTGGGGTGGAAGAAGGGGCAGAGCTGAGGGGCTGGGGGCAGGGGTGAGGGAGTGGGTGACTGTGCCCTTAGCCTGGGAAGGGCCCTGGACCACTCGGTCTGTGTGCTGAAGGGCCTGGGCCTGCACTACTGCAGACCTGGACCCAACTCCTGTGCATCCCCATAGGTGGTGGACAAGTGAGCCTGTGGGCCTTTCCCAAAGCCAGGTGGAGGGGTAATGGACCCCTTGATCTACAATCCCCTTAGCTTTCCTCAACATCATGCCTCCCACAGGGTGGGGTACCACTCCCAAAGCCCAGTGCCCGGGCACCTGCCATCACTAGCCCTTCCCTACATTTGAAGATGCTCTACTTTCTAAAGAGCAAGGATCTTAGTTTAAAGACTAAGGTGCACCTTATCAAAGCCATGGTATTTTCAACTGCTTCCTATACTACCACCACCACCACCACCTATACACTGATGCTTTTTGATTGTGGTGTTGATGAACACTGAATATCTGCCAAGATAACAAGTCTGTCCAGGAGGTACAATCAGGCTCATCCTTAGAGGCAAAAACGGTGACACTGTGTCGGGAGATGCCAGACATTGGGGTAAGATCAGCTGAGAAAGACTGAGGGTCAGAGAGAGAGATGAAGCCCCTGGAGGTGGCTTGACACAGCGTCTACCACGGTGGCTGGAATAGGATGGAAATCTTGGGGACTGCCCAGGACAGGGCGGGGCTCAGATCTGTTCCGAGGGAGGCGCTATGAGGTGGATTCGACTCAGCAGTCCCTAACAAAAACAGCAACAACAAAACTGGGGCTAAAATACACCGACTGTTAAACAATATTCCAGCAAGAGTAAGAGATGTACATAGGTGAGGGGTCCGTGGTTCCTTCCGGGGACACACTACCAACTCTACTTTTCCACTGACCAGAAAACACTCCTTGAAATTGCAACCACACCCCTCGTGCTCCCCATTCCAGCCTGGAGACGGCCTCTGGGGCTCGTGGGATTAGGAGCCCTGACTTACTTGCGCCCCAGCCCTGCAGGCCTGGAGGGGCACTTGCAATGACTGAGGACCTGGGGGGTGGGGTAGATGCAGAGACACCACACCCAGCGTGTTCTGGGGTAGCCCCATCGACTCCAGCCTTGCTCTGGACAGGGCGCTTCTCCCCACCCTGGCAGAGGTTAAGCATAAATGACAGGTCTACTTTCATGTGGGCCAAATGGACAAACGCATGAGTGGACACCTCGTCAGTGTCCCATAGCTGGCCCTGCAGAGGGTCTCTGAGGAGGAGATTGCCCGTTCTCTCCTGCAGAGCTATCGGTGGGTTCGAACCTGAGAAGAGGACTCTGTGTTAGCAGCGTGAGTCTCTAAAGACTCACCAGAGCCTGAGGACGAAGTGGGAGAGAGGGATGGGAGTCAGAAGGGACCGTGGCCGAAGGGGTGCAGGTGACTTCCAGGGGTCAGAGACCTAGGGCTGCCCCAAGAAGAGGCTCTTTCTGGGGTCCAGTACCCAGCAGGCCATGTGGTTGGTCACCCACTCTTCAGTCCGGATACACCTCATCTGGCACTGCCCTGCTCCAACCACACGAGGGGACGAGTGCCCCGGGCAGGAGCAAGCCCCTGGCCACAGGACAGGGCCCGAACCCTCTGCCCAGGCCCCAACTCCCACGAGCTCCTTCCTAATGGGCCGGCCCCGGGCCCCACCTTGCTCAGGACCTTGTCATTCTGTGCAGCTTTACCACTAGGACACAGGAGAAGTGCTGGCACCCCAGGCTGCAGTGCAGAGAGGAGAGAGGAGGCCCTTGCCTGTGGCATCAAAACACGTCAGATGGGACACCATTGCTGCCCACAGCATCACTGACCAAGCTCAGGTCAGTGGGACTTACACCTCTCTCCCAACAAGTCGTCAGATGCTTGTGAATGTTGTGGGTAGTAACTGTGTTGCTAGTCCCTGGACACCTTGGCCATGACTTCCATGTGCGAACACCAGAGAGCGCTGCCCTTGCCCAGTCCTCACCTGACCGCCCCCTTTGTCCAGGGCGCCCTGCAGGTCCTGCCTGTCCTCCTCCCCGTGCTGCTTTTTCCCTGAGTCCTCAGCTCTCCATCCGTGCTCCCAGGGCCCTAGCTGACACTCCTCACGCCCACACAGCGCCCAGGCACTGCGTGACCCCTGGCTCATCATAAAACACAGCACCAGTAACCTCTTGCCTTCTGTTCCAGGGTTGACTCCCTTACTGACTGGAGCAGACCCTCCCAGGGTTTCTGAGACTTTAAATGCGAAGAGAGAACATTGTAGATTCAAACTACTGAAGATACACATGGCCTATGGATTAGTGTCAAAATTTAGAGTGGGCTATGCCATTAGAGGTCCCGGTGCCCTCCAAAATACATGCCAACTTGGCTAGGGCATGATAATCAATGCCCTGTCTCTACTCTCCAACATGTGAGTGGTGGTGTCCTGTGCCATCGAGTCAGAACCAACCCATAGCTCATCCTCCAACAGGTTTTCAGAGGCAGTAAACCGCGTGGGAGGAGATTGCCTAGCCTTCCAAAGGGAAGTTGGTGGATTTGAACCATATGCCTTTGAGATTGCAGTGCTGCTTCCTACCACTAGGCCACCAGAGCTGTAATAATTACTCTTGCTGTAAATCTTCTGTGATGATAGTCAGTTTAAAGACCAAGTTGCAGCAGTCCAAAATCAAAAGATATATTGCATTGGACATATTTGCTGTCATAGATCTCTTTAAAGGGCAAGGATATCCCTCTAAAGACTAAGGCGCATCTGACCCAAGCCATGGTATTTTTTATTACTTTATATGCTTGTGAGAGTTGAACAGTAAGTAAGGGAGACTGAAGAACTGATGCTGCTGAGTTGTAGTGCTGGCAAATGTGTTGTTACGTGTCACTGAGTCAAGTATGACTGAGCAACACTAAGAACAAGAGACCTGAGCCCTGTCCTGTCCTGTGCCGTCCTCACCAGCTCTGACGCACTCGAGCCCATTGCTCCAGTCACTGTGTCAGTCCACCCCATCGACCTCTTCTTTACGGACCTTCCACCTTTCCAAGCAGATGTCATTTTCCTAGGAATAGCCTTTTCTAGCAAGATGCCCAGCATATGTGAGACAAAGTTTTATCATCCTTGCCTTCAAGGAACAATCTGGTTGTACTTTTTCTTTTTTTAAATATTTATTTTATTTTATTTTATTTTATTATTTTTGTGTGCGTGTACCGTCAAATCAGATCTGACTGGTACAGGAGGAGATTGCCCCTCCTTCCCCGGCAGAGCATGGTTGCACTTTTTCTAAGACATATCTGTTTGTTCTTTTGGAAGTCCATAGGATATTCAGCACTTGTCTCCAACACCACGACTCAAAGGCATCAATTCTTCTGTCATTCTTTTTTTTTTCTTCTGTCATTCTTACTCATTGTCCAACTCTTAGCTGCATAGCAAGTGGTTGAAAAGGCCATGGTCTGAATCAGGCATATCTCAGTAGTCTTCAAATTGACATCATTACTCCTCAGTAATTCGGAAAGGTCTCTGACAATGGACTTCCCTAGTGTATTACATTTCCTGATTTCCTTACTGCTGGTACCAAGGATGTTGCTTGCAGATCCAAATAAGCTGAAATAGCTGACAATTTAAATCCTTTCTCCATCCATCATCAGTCTAGTGGAGAGGATTTCCGTCCTCCTCATGTTAAGATCAAATCCAAATGGAAGGCTATACTCTTTGATCTTCTGCAGAAAGCATATCAAGTCCTCCTCATTTTCAGAAAGCAAGGTTGTGTCATCTGCATGAGTTGTGTTGAGTCTTTCTCGTATCCTAATGCCACATTCTTAGTCATACAGCCCAGCTTCTCCAATGATATGCTCAGTATACAGACTGAAATAGGTATTGAAAGAGGATACAACCTCGATACACACCTTTTAAAAATTTATTATTGTTATTATTATTATTTTGTGTGGGCCATCAAATCAGAGCTGTCTGGTACAGGAGGAGATTGTTCCTCCATCTTCAGCAGAGCATCTGGTGGATTTGAACCATGCACCTCTGGGATTGCAGTACACCTTCTTGCCACTAGGCCACCAGAGCTCACCAATACACACCTTTCTTAATTTTAACCCATGCAGAGTTCCTTTGCTCTCTTCAAACAATAGCTTCTTGGTCTAGCTGTATGTTTCATATGAACATATGTTATGATTCACACAGTCAAATGCCTTTGCATAGTCAGTAAAACACAAATAGACATTTTTTTCAGCCAGGATCCATCTGACACCAGCAATTACATCCTTGGTGCCACAGTATCTTCTAAACCCAGTTTGAACTTCTGGCAGTTCCCTGTCAATGTACTGTTCTAGCCATTTTGGAATGATCTTCAACAATATTTTGCTTGCACATAATACTAATGAGATGGTTTGATAATCTCCACCTTCAGTTGGATCACTTTTCTTGAGAATAGGAATAAATACGGATTTTATCCAGCCAGTCGGCCAAGCATTTGGTATCCCACCAATTCCTGGGTTTCCCGCACCTCAGAACCTTCAGCAGAGCTTGAACTTCTTCCTTCATTACTACTGACTTGTTCATATGGTGCTTCCTACAAATTTCTGTGTCAACCAATTTCTTCCGGTACAGTGACTTTGAGTATTTCTTCCATCTTCTCTCTGTTTCCTGGATCGTTCAAAATTTTGCCCAGAGTATTTCTTAGTATTGCAACTTGAGGTTTGAATTTGCTTTTCAGTTTTTCAACTTGAGAAATGCTAAGTGAGTTCTTCGCTTTTTATTCTCCAGCTCTCTGCACATTATGTCATAATGTTTTGCTTTGTCTTCTCAAACGGGACAGTCAAAGGAACAAACAAAGCTGTCCTGGAGGCAGTGCGGCCAGAATGCCCTCCCCTCTCCCCCTCTCACTCCTTCACCTGTGCAGTTACACTGACTCACAGTTGATCCTCCAACAGGTTTTTGGAGTCTGTAAGTTGCAGGGGATGAGACTGCCCGTGTTTCTCCTGAGAAGCTGCTAGTGAATTTGAACTGCCACCTTTGGGATAGAAGTGCTTTATGGACTAGACCACCAGAGTTCCCTAAGAGTGTTCTTTTTTAAAAAAAATTTATTTATCTA